CGCTCCCTGCCATGCCTCCTTCACAAGCTCTCGTCTCTTCCCCTGCCCTTCCTGTCTCCAGAAGGTCCAGGTGGAGCTGACCGTGCTGGACTATGACAAGCTGGGCAAGAACGAGGCCATCGGGAGGGTGGCCGTAGGGGCTGCGGCCGGGGGAGCTGGCCTGCGGCACTGGGCAGACATGCTGGCCAACCCCCGGCGGCCCATTGCCCAGTGGCACTCGCTGCGGCCTCCTGACCGAGTGAGGCCGCTGCCTGCACCCTGATCCCCACTTCAAGCCCCTTGCCAAGCCTGGACTCGGCCCCTGACCTCAGACTCCTGGCCAAAGCCACACCCAGGCCTACCTTTAAGCCTTCTCGGACCACTAGCCACCCCCACCCCACCCCAAACTGACCTATTCCTGCCTTCCCACCCCCCATTATACCAATCATGGTGACTTGCCAACTCTCTCACCAAGCACACGCCCAGAAGCCCCAGGGACCCCTGGGGGCGAGGAGCAATCTGGCCTCCCCCAACCCCAGCCTGCCACTCTCTGCTTTGACAATCAGTGACCCAGCCTTCTACCCCCTTCACTCCCAGTGCCCCTCTTCCTGCTCAGGATCACCCCCTCCTGTCCCTAGTCAGATTCCTGCACCGCTCCTGGGACCAAATAAATACTCAGTAACTTTGGTGGCCTGGCCTGGTGCTTACTGATGGGGTGGGCAGTGCAGGGGCCAGGGGCCCAAGAGGATGGGATCACCCAGGGGCAAGGATAGAGCTGCCCATCCTGGAAACACACTGAGGGAAACTAGCCCACCCACCCACCGCACATGTATTCATTTATTTGTTCATGCACCCCTCCGAGCCTGGGTTTCTTCACCTGGAAAGATGGTGGTCATAACAATACCTCCTGTATGTTTGCTATGAAGAGTCTGTGAGAATCACATACCTGCGCACAAATTTAATCTGCTCCCGCACCCATGACTTCCATAGATTTTCATACCCATATTTCCCTCCCTTCCCTTCTTTCTTCCATAATTGATCCATTCTATTTTCCCTGAGGTCTTCAGTGGGCAGCTTCTGTTGGATGCTGGAACCCTAAGTTGATGCAGATCCAAACTTTACCCCCAAGCGACTTACTCTCATCACAGAAACAAAGTAGACATGTAGAATCTGGGAATGAGATTCCCAGAAACTGGGAGAAAGGACAGAGTTACGCAGGGTAAAACTAATGGTTCTACCTCTTCCTTCCTTCAACAAATGCTGCCTCCTGATCCGTGTCTAGGAAAGACAATCATTTCATTGGCTTCTCCCTCCTCTCATCCCAGACAGGATTTCAGGTGGTAGACAAAGGTCCATGAAATTTGGGAAGAGAGCTCTCTGACCAGGAGGTTAAGTGGAAAATGAGACAACAGGTTCCCCCATGTACTAAAGAAAGGGCAGAGTATTAACCTGCACTGAGCTTCCTGGTAGCCAATGGGAAAAGGGAAATCTGATCAGTTACACAGGTTGTAATGTCTATGCGATTTAACAGATTTTTTCAAAGGGATGTGGTAATTTCTCATGTGTGAGTGCGTGAGGGGACGTCTTTATGAAAACGGCCCGAGGTATCACTATTATTACTATTACTGCTACTCCTGCTAACAATAATCCTCACAACCACCCCATGAAATAAACATGATTATTATTCCCAGTTGACAAATGAGGAAACTGTGCTTCAGAGAAGTAACATGACCTGCCTAGGATCATACAGCCAGGAAATCTGTCTTTAAATCCTGGGATCAAATCTGTTCTGAGTTAGATGATGACTTTGGGGTCCCTGGTTCCGTGTCAACAAGAGAGCCGACAAATGAGAAGAATAAAATCATTACAAATGGTGGTCTGTACTGGGCAGTAAGCTAGTGAGAGCTGAGATCAGGGCAGTCAAGGACAACTTACCTAAAGAGGTAATGTTTGAGCTGTGCTTTGAAGGACAAGATGGAACGAGGCTGGCAAAGATGAGGGGGAAATACACTGGAATATTATTCAGTCATAAAAAGGACTGTTTACACTGATTCATGCTATGGCATGATGAACCTTGAAAGCAAGATTATAAGTGAAAGAAGCCAGACACAAAAGGCCACATATTGTATGATTCAATCTGTGTGAAATATCCAGAATAGGCAATCCATAGAGAGGGGGAAAAAGGTAGATTTGTGGTTTGCAAGACTAGGGAGAGGGAGAAATGGGGAGAGACTGATTAATGAGTACAGGACTTCCTTATGGAATGATGAGAAAGTTCTGGAACTAGATAGTGGTGATGGTTGCCCAACATTGTCAATGTACTAAATGTCATTAAACTTTATGTTGTGTGTATTTTACCACAATAAAAATAAGCAAAGATGAAGGGGAAGAGACTTCCAGGCAGAAGGAATGCTAAGTTGCAAAGGCCCTGGGGCAGGAATAGGCTTGGTGTGTTCCCCAAAGAGTCAGGAGGCCAGTGAGTCCTGCAGGATGTCCCGAGACCTCAGCTTCACTCCCCAGGGCCCAGAACTGTCCTCAGAAGGGGGATGGACCCCCCTTCAATCCATCACAGCACTGCTAGCTGCATGTTACCATTCCCAATCTACAGAGCAGAAAACTGAGGCACAGAAAGGGTGACTGGTTGTCTAAGGTTGCATAGCTGGAGGAGGTGAGGCAGAGAGCCAAGGCTCCTTGGGTGTCACACCCTGTGCTGGGTGCTGGGGCTGATCTGGAGATGTGCCTCACTCAAGTCCCTGCCCTTATGGACCTCGAAGACAAGTTAAGTCACCTGGTGGAGGTCTCTCAGCCAGCAGGTGGAGGCAAGACAGAAAGCCAGGCATATCTGACACCAAAAGCCACATTCTCAAGCATCTTGCCATCTGGTCTGAATATAAAGTACAGGGAGTCACAGGGTGTGGACTGCTGTGGCCATTCTGCTGGGAAGGCAGGAGCAGAACTCGGAGGAAGATCCCCTGCTGGACTTGGACATTTCCAGGGGCAGTGGCGGAGGTGGGGGATGGGGAGGGAGCTGAAATTGGAGGAGGGAACTGCTCAACGAATTCAGACGCAGAGGCCAGAGAGGACTTGGTGTGTGCCATTACCAACATTTTTTTGTTTTGTTTTGTTTTCTTTTTAAGATTTTATTTATTTATTTGAGAGAGCGTGAGATCACAAACGGGGGGGGGGAGGCATAGAGGGAGAAGCAGACTCCCCGCTGAGCAGGGAACCCAACGTGGGACTCAATCCCAGGACCCTGAGATCATGACATCGGGGAAAGGCAGTCGCTTAACCGACTTAGCCACCCAGGCGCCCCCCACCTCCGTTACCAACTTTCTGAAGCCCTGTTGTGTAGTCTGCCTATTTCCATGGCGTAAATACTCCCACTGTGGCTGATTTCAAGCCACCAGTGTGAAGTCACTGCGTATGGAGTCGAGAGGAGATGCTTATTAGTATACTATCATATAGTAAAATAGTATTTCCCAGGGTCAGGACAGAGGTTCCAAAATTTAAGGCAAAGCCGACAAAACAAAACTACCAGTCACCAAAATAAATAGTGTTTTAATACAATATTTTTAAAAATTAAAATTAAGGCAAAAAAAAAAGAGAGAGAGAGAGATCCTGGGGCACCTGGGTGGCTCAGTCGTTAGGCGTCTGCCTTCGGCTCAGGTCATGATCCCAGGGTCCTGGGATCAAGCCCCGCGCCGAGCTCCCTGCTCCGCGGGAAGCCTGTTTCTCCCTCTCCCACTCCCCCTGCTTGTGTTCCCTCTCTCGCTGTGTCTCTCTCTGTCAAATAAATAAATAAAATCTTTAAAAAAAAGAGAGAGAGATCCATGATGGATAAAATATAAAAATTTTAAAGACAGAGTCTGACCCTGCACTTGGACCACTCTGCTTCATCCCCATCCTGGCCCTGTTTCTCATAAAATTTTACGTAGAGGGGCGCCTGGGTGGCTCAGTTGGTTAAGCGACTGCCTTCGGCTCAGGTCATGATCCTGGAGTCCCGGGATCGAGTCCCGCATCTGGCTCCCTGCTCCGCGGGGAGCCTGCTTCTCCCTCTGACCCTCTTCCCTCTCGTGCTCTCTATCTCTCATTCTCTCTCTCTCTCAAATAAATAAATAAAATCTTTTAAAAAAAATTTTACGTAGAAAAATAGCCAGTGGTCGTAGTTTGCCAATTTGATTTTTTTAATTATTACATTAAAATATTATTTCCTTCATTTGGGTACGACAATTGATGTAAAAAACCTTAAGACCATCAACAACAGGAAAGTACAGTAAAATAAGAAGTGGTGAGTTTTGAGTATATATTACCTTTATTTTAACGTAATGCATTTAACTTGAATTTAATTTTAGTAATTAGTGAAACAGTTTAATTTTTAGTAATGACTGTGCCTAACAACCAGGTCGCAGAGTTACTGACACTTGAACGACAGGGGGCTAGTGCTGGCTAGCCCCCGCCCTTCGCTGCGTTTCCCGCCTGGGTGGTAGGACCACGGTGTGAGGGGTAAGGGGACCCAGAGGTCTAGGTGGTGTCACTTTAATTTGAATTAATCAAGATTCTGTTCCGTTCTAGGTCAACTTGTGTCGGCTCATACCTTCCCCATCCCAGAAATGTGGATCGCCCCAGGCCCCGCCCCTTCGCCTCCAGCGCCGTCGTCATGACAACCGCGTCCACACGCCCTCCACACCCGCGAGCGCTCCCATTGGCCAAAAGTTCGTAGCAGGCAGGTCCCACTCGCTCCATTGGTCAGTTGATCGCGCCGGTGCCAACCCGCGTACTCCCATTGGCTGATTGGTCGGAAAGGAAGGGGGCTATGGGCAGTTGCGTGTAGGGGGTGCAGGACAGCGGCGCCGCCCTGAGCAGGGAGGGAGGGAGGAAGGGAGGGGGCGTCCCGGAGTCTCTGGAAGGATAGAGGTGAGGGGGTGTCACATGGAGGAGAGGGGCGAGAAGGGAGGGGCCGTGAGAGGGGCATGGGTGAGCGACGCAGAGACGATGGTTGGGGACTCCCAGGATGTCTGTTCTGCAGGGCCATGACCACACCGGCAGGTTCGGGAGCAGGCTTCGGCTCCGTGTCCTGGTGGGGCCTGTCCCCGGCGCTGGACCTGCAGGCTGAGAGTGAGTCCCCACCCAGGACCACATCTGACAAGGCGGCTGCCTTCCCAGCCTGGCAGGCGGCGCGCTAACGTTCCCCGAGGCTCCAACGGTGGAGCCGCCCCTCACTGGGCAGCCCAAGTGACCTCTGCGGACTACAAGTCCCAGAATGCTTAGAGGCACAGATCCCTTGAGAATCTAGGCCAGGAGTGCGAGTCCTGCTGGAAGTTGTAGTCCATCGTTCTGAGGAGGCTGCAGGGGGCGCTCTCCAGGCCACTACCCCAGCCTGCGTCATCTTGCCAGGTCCTCCTGTGGACTCCAGGGGCGGTACAGAGCCCAGGACCCCCGAGCTAGATGTACTGCTGCTGGGCTCCGTGGATGGGCGGCACCTGCTTCGGACCCTGGCCCGGGCGGCGCTCTGGCCTCGCAAGAGGTTGCACGTGAGCTGGGATTCTGGGGTCGTGGAGGGAGGAGGATGAAGAGGAGAGCCCAGATTCCTAAGTCCTTGAGGGAGAAGGGAGCTGGAGGCCTGGACTGCTAGGTCCGAGGGAGGTAGAAGCTGGGAACCCAAACTCCTGGGCTGGGGACTCTTGGGGTCAAGTGGGAGGGAGAGCCTAAAGACTGGGTCTCCTGAGTAACGGTGGGGAGGAGGGTTCTGAGTGCCCAGACTCCCGTGTTTGAAGGAAGGGGTCCAGTGTACAGGATGCCTGGATCCTGTGGGGGGTGGAGGCTGAGGTCTTCCTTTCCTGGGTCTCCTAGGAGCCAGGGACACAAATCTCAGAATCATTTTGCTCTGTCTGTCCTTCCAGTTCTATGTGCTAGAGAATAATCTGGAAGCTGTGGCCCGACATATGCTGATCTTCAGCCTAGCTTTGGAGGAACCTGAGAAGATGGGGTTGCAAGGTCAGTTGCAAGGACCCAGACATTCTGGCCCCCAGCCTCTTCCCCCTGCCCACAGGGATTCTGGCATTTCAAAGGTACAATGAAACATTTTGGTCATTGTTCCCACCTGTACAAAAATATACTATCTCCTAGAGCCATTGAGAGAATCCCAGGAGAAAATCCACATAAATTCTCAGCCCAGTGCATGCCACAGGGTAAGCATTCAAAGCCTCCTACCACACAAGAGGGCCAAAAGAGATGAAAGGACTTCTTAAGAGGTAGTGAGTCCCCCAGAGGTGGGGAAGGTTTGGCTGAGCTGAACTCAGTCCTTTGCAGAGCCTCCCCACAGCCCTGAGTATCCTCAGTTAGAGGCATGAATCCCAGAGAGTCTGCCTGGAGGAGGCAGCCCTGGAAGGAGGAGGAGGATTTGGGCAGGGACGCAGGGATGATGATTTCTCAGTGACAATGACTTCGGCTTAATGCCTCGAGTGAAGTCTGGACTGAGACAGTCTGTTCAAATTCAGGCTCTGCTGGCTGAGGGACCTGGGGCTAGTATCTGCCTCTTTCTGGGCCTACGTTGTTCCTACATTGATAAAATGGAGATCCTAAAAGTTCTTTTCCCATAGCGTTCTTGAGAGGGTTCAATTAAAAAAAAAAAGCATAGCTCCTGGCTTATGATGCAGACTCAGTACCTCTTAGTGATGATTATTGTTATCACGAGTATGGATGGTAGTTGTCATTAATAGCCCAGGGCATTCAGAATATGCTGCACACATTTCACAGCGCACCTTGTAAAAGGCTCTGAAACAACTAGATCTATCTAACTAAAGGTATATAGCTCTATAAGATCCTTAAACCACTAAATGAAACAATTTACATATTGATAGAGATACATTGATATAGATGTATATGTATATACAACTAAAGGTGTATAGTTCTCTTGTAAGATTCCTAACTAAAATGGAACAATTTAACACTGTACTATTTTAACACACATAAATCTCCATTTCCGTCCGTATCTATATATAACTTTTTCTTTTTTAAGGCAAGGAAAATTTGAACTTGAAATTCAGGATTGGGCTCATCTGGAGGGTGGGGAAGACTAGAAGGAGGCCTAGGTTAGGTGTAAGTTATTCTTTGTGTTTGAGGGATGGATGAGGAGTTGGCCAGTCTCCCTAATGCTCACATGACTATGACATAATAAGATTACTATAAAGAGGGTATGCGTCATCCACACGGGTCTCATTTCTGGGTTCCCTCCTCTGCTCCCCCCACTAATCCCCCTTCCCCCCCCAGAGAGGAGCGAGACCTTCCTGGAGGTGTGGGGGAACGCGCTGCTGCGCCCCCAGGTGGCCGCCTTCGTGCGCGCCCAGGCCAACCGCCTGGCGCACCTGGTCCCGGAGCCCGACCGCCTGGCGGAGCAGCTGCCCTGGCTCAGCCTGGATGCCCTCAAGGTGCCGTCACCGCCCAGGATCTGGATGGCCACGGGAAGAATGGAAATGGGCAGCCCCAAAGGGTGTTCGTTGATGGAGTTCGAGCCCCAGCTCCCCGGCTCCCAGGGTGGGATGTGACCTAGGGGGTGGCTTCTCCTCTCTGAACTTCAGTTTCTTCATCTGAGAAATGGGAGAATGGTTCCCACACCCTGGGATGGAAGGGAGGGTAAAGCGGGAGAAACAGCTCTCCTTGCAGCCCTCTCTCCCTCGCTGTCTCCCCACGCATACTGGCCGTGCAGTTCCGCGAGCGCGACGCCCTGGAGGCTATGTTCCGCTTCTGGGCCGGCGGGGAGAAGGGGCCCGAGGCCTTCCCCATGAGCCGCCTCTGGGACTCCAGGCTGCGTCACTACCTGGGCTCCCGTTACGACGCCCGGCGCGGTGTCAGCGACTGGGACTTGCACATGAAGCTGCACGACCGTGGGGTGAGGGGCCTGGGAGAGGGGCTGGGGGCCCAGACTCCTGGGACTGAGGGAGGAGGGGCTGGGGGCCCATATACCAGATTTGCTTAGACCTCTGTCCATTCCTTCTCCTACCCAGGCCCGAGTCATCCACACTCGCGAGTTCCGGCGTTGGAGGGACACGGGCGTCGCCTTTGAACTCAGAGACTCCAGCGCCTACCATGTGCCAAACCGGACCCTTGCGTCTGGTCGCCTCCTGAGTCATGTGCGTGTCCACTCGCTGCCCTGGCCAGTCCTTTCCAAGGACACAGGAACCGGGGTCTCCAACACTGACCTCCCCTGCCCTTTCTCTCCCTGCTTTCCCAGCACGGAGAGCGTGTCGCAGCGCGCGGGTACTGGGGGGACATCGCCACGGGGCCATTCGTGGCATTTGGCATCGAAGCGGATGATGACAGCCTCCTACGGACCAGCAACGGACAGCCAGTCAAGGTGTGTGACTGGAGGTGCTGGGTCTGGGGGAGGTCCCGCCTCTCTGTACTTTCTAAACCCAGTCTGGAAATCCAAGCTAGCACTGGGCATTGGGGGGAGGCCCTGCTCTAGGCCCTGCCTTGTCACCCTGGCTGCGCCCCTTCTCTCCCCAGACCGCTGGTGAGATCACTCAGCACAACGTGACGGAGCTGTTCCGAGAGGTGGCCGCCTGGGGGCGCCCGAGAAAGACCCTCGGAAACCCCAAGGAGGTGCATCAAGACGGGGATGGAAGCCCAGAGGGTAAGCGTCCGCGTCAGCTCACCCCCTTGAAATGGGAGTTGGGTGGTAAAGTGGGCACATCCTCCTCTGGGGAAGAGTGGGACCCAGACCCCCATCCTGGGCTTCAGCTATTTAATGTGCAAGTGCTTACCAATATGGCTTCCAATGCCTGAATAACTGATCTCCTATTCCTGACATTGTGTTTTTGTTTCTTTGTATTTCTCTCCCTTTCCTAAATCCTGACACCATGTTATCATTCTGAAGTCCAACAGTAGAATTCTAATCCTACCTGCAGAAGTCTAAGAGACAGAACATTCTAGCAAGGTGCTAGGTCCCAGCTCACTTTTGGAGACTCCCCCCCCCCCCTTCTGGTCGTGCCTCTCTTGTAACCATCCCCCAACCTGGCTCTTCCTGGGTATCTGGATACCCTGTATGGCCATGGGCCTCCCACTCTTTATGTATGTATGTATGTATGTATGTATGTATGTATGTATTTAACAGAGAGAGAGAGAGAGAGAGCACAGGTAGGTAGAGCGGCAGACAGTGGGAGAGGGAGAAGCAGGCTTCCCGCGGAGCAGGGAGCCTGACGCGGGGCTCGATCCCAGGACCCTGGGATCATGACCTGAGCCGAAGGCAGACGTTTAACGACTGAGCCACCCAGGCGCCCCTCTTTCCCTCTCTTGAGTCTCAGTTGCCTAGTCTGTAAAATGGGTCTCTGCTTGCCGGGCTGACCTTCCCAGAGTTTTCCAGGAATCCATCTACGAGAAAGGGCTTCAGGACAGGCAAGGAGTGTTCTCTCCAAGCTTTGTGTGTCTGCCTAACTCTGCCAGTTCTTCCCCAGCTGTCCCTGCCCTGGAATTCTTCACTGTGCACTTCCTACCTCTGGGCTCTGCCCAGACCCTTCACCACAGGAGCTGCTACAAGGAACGGTTCCAGCTTCTCTATGTGGCCTGTGGGTAAGAGAGAGGTTCCCAGACTTCCCTCCCCCAGCTCCTCCTCCCTTCCACCCAGGAGTCCTGGCCCCCAGCCCCTCCTTCATCAGTGTCCGGATCCCCCAGCCCCACTCCTCCCTCAGGACCTGAAAGTCTCAGCCTTGGCCCTCCCTTTCCTCTGCACAGGATGGTGCATCTTCTCAGCCCAGATCTCGGGGCCTGCGTGGTCCCTGGAGGACGCCTGGTGGTGGAATTAGCCCGGTGAGCCAGCGGAGGGCAGGGCAGGGAATGTCCAGGCTGAGGGCTGAAAGCCGGGACCTCTAACGGGCCCCTTCCTGGTTTCAGGTACCTGGTGGACCTGCGGCAGGAGCAGCTGCAGGGGTTTGCCACCCGGGTCGGGGAGCTAGCTCGGGCGGCTGGGTTCACCCCCCGGCCCCAAGCCAGGCCCTCAGAGACCTTCGCACGCTTCTACAAGGCCCCGGACTCTGCTTGCCACCGCCCTGATGCAGCTGTGGGCTCCGTGACTCCGCCCCCTGAGGTCCTGGTCCCGCCCCTTGAGGACCAGGGCCAGCCTCTGGAACGCAGGACCCCACCCTCTGGGCTCCTCAAGCAGCCCTCAGAGTCTCCAGCTCCACCCACAGAGAATCAGACCCCAACACCAGAGAGTCTGACTACACTCCCAGATGCCCGGTCCCCCATCTCTGACTTGTAAAGTCAGGTCCTGGAATTAGAGCCCACCTCTAGAATACTCAGTTGTATTCTCAGCAGTCTTAGGCAGCTCCAGAGGTGCTGCTAGAATTTCAGATTACTTTCCTGGGATTCTATATTCTGTTCCTAGAATTCTAGATTGTTCTTTCAGGGCGCCTGGGTGGCTCAGTTGGTTAAGCGACTGCCTTCGGCTCAGGTCATGATCCTGGAGTCCCGGGATCGAGTCCCACATCGGGCTCCCTGCTCGGTGAGGAGCCTGCTTCTCCCTCTGACCCTCTCCCCTCTCGTGTACTCTCTCTCTCTCTCATTCTCGCTGTCTCAGATAAATAAATCTTTAAAAAAAAAAATAGATTGTTCTTTCAGAGTTACGCACTCCACTCTTGAGACTCTAAACACCGCCTACAGAGATCCAGCCCTGAGTCTTAGGCCCTCTGTGTGGCCTCCTGGGGATTGGGGGAATCTGCTCTCCGGGCCGCTCAACACCCACACTGTCCAAGTAAAGAGAGCAGGGTCCTCTTCGTGTGCCCATGTGTCCTTCCAGTCTTTAGTCTTGTCTCCGGGGCTGGGAGAGGGGCTGTACTAGGGCGGTCAAGAGAGGAGACCTAGTTCCTAGTGAACTAGAGGTGGATTTCTCCATGCTTTTGTTGCCTGAGAGTCTGGGCCATACCTGGATCCTCAAATAAATCAACAAAATTTATTGAGTGGCTAACAGGTTTGGGATACAGAAACTGACCATAGTTCTTATGAAGATTGCAGTTTAGTGTGGGGATGAGGCCCAGACTCCTGGGTCTCAGGGAGGAGGGGAATGGGGGCTGGACTCCTGGGTCTGAGGTAGGAGGGCCTGGGGGCCTGGACTCCTGAGTCTGAGGGAGGAGAAGGGGCTGGGGACCTGGACTCCTGGGTCTGAGGGAGGAGGGGGCTGGGGACCTGGACTCCTGGGTCTGAGGGAGGAGGGCCTGGGGGCCTGGACTCCTGAGTCTGAGGGAGGAGGGGGCTGGGGGTCTGGACTCCTGGGTCTGAGGGAGGAGAAGGGGCTGGGGACCTGGACTCCTGGGTCTGAGGGAGGAGGGGCTGGGGGGCCTGGACTCCTGGGTCTGAGGGA